GGGGGGGGGGGGGGGGGGGGGGCGCCGCATGGCCCCGCACGGCCCACCAGAGGGGCGCCGCGCGGCAGCTCGTGCGGTGCTCGCGTGGGCGGAGCCGCGGCGCTTCCTTGTGGCTGCGTTGAGCGACGAAAGGCCGCAGCCGCGGATGCATGCATTCCCCCTGCACGGCGCCCGTGCGCGTGCGCGGCGCCTGCAAGGTGGCACCGCAGCCGCAAACGCCGCGAACGCCGCGCGTGAGCTCCGGGCGGCGGCGGCGGCGGGGGCGAGGGCTGTCTTGTCTTGCAGCCGGCCGGGCGGGAGGCCTGGGCGGCGGCGATCAGAAGCCTCCGAATATGGCCTCGCACTCTGCTAGCTCGTCCTGCGACTCCTTGGCGGGGCGGCCCACGCCCTTCCTCTCGTTCTCCACTAACTCCTTGAGGCGCTTGGCGCTGTCAGTCTCCTGCGGGCAGTTGTGCGGGGCGGTTGAGGGTTCAAGAGCACGTGAGAGTGTTCTTGTGAGTGTTTTGGTGAGCATGTGTGTGTATACGTGCGAGCTGCAAAAGGATGTTTTTCTCGTGTGGAGCTCTCTCTCACAAACACACACACACACACGGTATGTGTGTGTGCCTCTGTGTGTGTTCTGGGTGTGAACGGGAGGTGTGTGCTTACCCGCGCGCATTTGTACGTGTATAAATTCAAAGGGGCGCCTGGGCACAACCACGCAAGACACGAACAGCAGCCCATTCCTGCCCCTTGCCACCACCCACCGACCCCGCCACCCGCCCCTTCCACCCCAGCCCCCTGCCGTCACGCACCCGGGGCTTCCGCGGCGGCACCACCCTCTTGCTGCCGAGCGCGTCCCAGTCGACGCCGTCAAACCACTTGTGCCGCATCACGTCCGCGGCCTTGCCGCTCAGCATGCCCAGCCGCTTGGTGGGCTTGCGCTCTAGGAGCTTCATAATGAGGTCCTGCGGGGGTGGGGGGGTTCGTTTGGTTGATGAGGGGGATGGGGGAGGAAGCAGGGGAGCGCGCAGGGGGACGGGATGAAGATCAGGATCGTACTCGTGCGGGCGTGCATGTGTGAGTGGGTTTGTGTTGTGTGTGTGTGTGTATCGTGTGTGTTGTGTGTGTCGTGTGTGTATATGTGTTGTGTGTGTGTATGTGTGTGTGTCTGTGTGTGTGTGTGCGTGCACGCACACTTGTGTGTATGTGTGTGTGTGTGTGGGGGTGCGTACGCACAAATGCCCGCGCGTGCTCCTGCACGCGACGCCGCCCGGCCTCACAGCCAATGGCCCCTGCTTTCCGACCCCACCCCACCTCCCCTGCCCCCCAGACCTTGGCGGCCGTCGAGAGGTATGGCGGGTACTTGATCTGCCAGTTCTCGTCCACGATGCGCCGCATCACCTGAATACAGGGCCGCCCGGGAGCGCGCGCAGCGCAGCACAACGAGTCGGGCCGGGCCGGGAGGGCCGCGCCGAGCGGAGCGAGGCGCAGCATCGGCCCCGCTAACAGGGCCGGCGGGGCCCCACGACCGCTTGCTCAGCCTGCCGGCTCCAACAGCCGGTCGGGGTTGCGCGAGGCCGCGCCCCTTAAGCCGTGCCGCGCGCGCGGGCGCGCGCGCGCCTGCGCGCACGGGTGCGTGTGTTGATGACTCACCACCATGGGGTCCTCCGTCTTTGGGCTGCTGAACGGCTGGCGCCCCGTCAGCAGTACGTACAGCAGCACCCCCAGCCCCCACCAGTCGACGCTGTAGTTGTAGCCGTGGGCCAGAACGTTCTCTGGGGCCACGTAGCTGGGGTTGATGACGTGGAAGGCGGAAGGGCGGGGGGGGGGGGGCAAAGGGTTCAAGGGAGGGGGTTTCGCGAATGGGCAGGCCGCGCCGAGATGGGGCCCAGGTGGAGGGGGCCGGCGGCGGCGAGGGACGACAGGGGTGGCAAAGAGGGCTGGCAGCGGTGGCGTGGGCGAAGTGGCCGCGGCGGGGCCGGAGGACGCCGCCGCGGCGGGCATAACCCGCGGCCGCTGCTCACCCCGGGGTGCCACAGAAGGTGTAGGTGCGCCCCTGGCCGTCCAGCACCTTGGCGAAACCAAAGTCGCCAAGCTTGACAAAGCCCTGCGCGCGGGATGAGCGGCCGCCACGTCAGCGCGCCCCCCGCGCGCGCGCCGGCCCGCTGACAGCGCCACAGGCGCGCCGCACTGCGAAAATCCGGACGGGCTCGCGTGCCGCCGCGCACGCGGCGGCGTCGCGCCATGCGTGCACGGTGGACGCAAAGTGTTGTCAAGCAGAGCACGTTTGACCGGCGTTCGAAAGGGGTTTGACCGACCTGCGAGTCTATGAACACGTTTTCTGGCTTAAGGTCCCGGTACACTGTGTTGTTGTCGTGAAGGTAGGC